GAAACAAACCAAGGGATAAGATCACTAGGAAATGACTTTTTGGTGGAAAAAATATTGAATCTGGATCTCAGAAATCGGTGCTTCAAAGAAGTCACAATTTGGTTGGATTAGTTTGTAAAGGAATTTACTCTCCAGAGCATTGTTGAAAATAATTGAGCCATCAACCATGGGCATACCCAAAGCTGTACCTCCCAGAGGAGCAACAGCAGAGGCTTAAAATCGTAGGAGGGAAACAGACTTCACTAAAATAATCTAGCCAGTCACTAAAAATTAAACCAGCAAATAACAATAAGAAGCCCCCGAAAGGGGAGAATCAGTACCCAGAGTTGTTACAGTTTGTTACCTACAAGTTAACAAAAAAATCACAAGGCATGCATAGAAACACTTAAGCATGACCCATATACTGAGGGGGAAAAGCACAAATTGCCTGTGAGTGAGACAAGATGTCATATTTAACAGAAAAAGACTTCAAAATAGTCATTATAAGTATGTTCACAGTAATAAAGGAATGCACACACAAAAAAAATTTATACTGGATATTTATTTATTTGAAAACCAGCATAAATGTATTGTTTCTTCTTTCCTTTGAAATGATTTAAAAGGGAATTATATAAGATAATATGTATATGATGTAATGTTGGGCCTGTAACCTATAGGAAGGTAATATGTGTGTAATATATTTGCCAATAACAGCACAAAGAAGATTGGTGGAAGCATAACTGTACTATTCTGAGAAAATGACTGCAGATGGTAAAGTAATAATTGTAACAATATATAGTTGAGTATATAACATTAATAGATATAATATGTATAACAATACTATAAAAGGGAGGAAAAAATAGACCTATATAAAATTAATACTTCTATATATCTGTCTTAGTCTGTTTTCTGCTATAATAGAATGCCACAGACTAGGTAATTTATAAACAATAGAAATTTATTTGGCTCATGGTAATGGAGGCTGGGAAGTCCAAGAGCATGATGCAGGCATCTGGCGAGTGTTACCTCATGGTGGAAGATGGAAGGCAGAAGTGAGCATGACACAGAGAGAGGCACCGGCAGCCAGACATATTTTATAATAACTCACTCTTCCTATAACTAACCACTCCCATGCTAGTGACAGTAATCCATTAATGAGGGCTCTGCCCTCATGATCTAATTACCTTTTATTGGGCCCCATCTCCTAACCCTATTGTATTAGAAATGAAATGTCTAATACATGAACTTTAGGGATAAATATTCAAACCATAACAATATTGCTAGAATTAAGCTAGTATAAATCTGAAGCTGATTCTGATAAATTATAATGTATATGATTAACCTCAAAGCAATCACAAAAATACTACATTAGAAAATATTCACTTAATGACTAAATGCAAATGAAAGCGTAAAGTAAGAACAGAAGAAAAAATAGACAATGAGACATACAGACATCCAAAAGTAGAATTAGATGTAATTCCCAGTATATAGATAACACAAATAAATGTGAAAGAATAAAGCAGTCCAATCAAAATATAGAGATTGGCAGACTGGATTAAAAAACATGATCCAAATATATGCTGTCTGCAGGAGAGACACTTTAAATTCAAAGACACAACAAATGAAAAGGAAAAAGATGATCTTTCCAAAGAGCAACCACAAGAAAAGTGGAGTGGCTATGTTAATATCTGACAAAATGGAATTTAAAGCAAAAAATGTTACTAGAAATAGGGATATTTCTTAATGATAAAAGGTTTAATCTATCAGGAAAAGATAACAATGAAAAACACGTATGTACCTAATAATAAGGCACCAAAATACACAAAGCAACAACTGACAGAAATGAAAGGAGAATTAGACAATTCAATAATAATAGTAGGAGGCTTCAATACCTTACTTTCAATAATGGTGGAACAACTAGACAGAGGATCAACAAGAAAATAAAAGACTTAACACTCTAAACCAACTAGACCTAATAGATGTCTACAGAATACTTCACCCAATAACAAAATATACATACTTCTCAAGTACATATGAAACATTTTCCAAAATAGACCACGCTAGGTGATTAAAANTTTTTTTAGACAGAGTCTCACTCTGTCACCAAGGCTGGAGTACAGTGGCACAATCTCAGCTCACTGCAATCTCTACCTCCCTTCAAGTGGTTCTTCTGCCTCAGCCTCCTGTGTAGCTGGGACTACAGGCATGCGCCACCATGTCCCCTGGCTAATTTTTGTATTTTTAGTACAGATAGTGTTTTACCAAGTTGGTCAGGCTGGTCTGGAATTCTTGACCACAGGTGATTCACCCTTCTTGGCCTCCCAAAGTGCAGGGATTACAGGCGTCAGCCACGGGTGCCCAGCATAAATCTCAATAAATTAAAAAAGAAATAAATAATATGAAGTATGTTCTCTAACCAAAACGGAATTAAAAATCAAAAGCTAGAAAAAATTTGGGCAACTCACAAATATGTGGCTATTAAACTAGATCTTTTGGTATTCCTTTCTTCAAAATTCTTGATGATTATACATATGTATTCAGTGTTTATCTTAAGTTTGTCTCTCCTTCCTACTCCCAGAAAGCTCTTTGAAAGTAAGAATATGTCTATTTTGATTACCACTGTACCCTTAACACAGTGTCCAGCATGTAGTATGAATTCAATATCTATTTGTGGAATGAATGACTGAAGGTTGAAAACAATGACCTATGTGGGAATGGAGATTTGTTCATCTATTTATTCATTCCACAAATATTTATTGAACACTTACTATGTACCAGATCCTGGGGATATAACAGCAAAGAAGACAAAATTTCTGCCTCATGAAGCTTATCTTCCAGAGGGTAAGACAGATACTAAACAAATAAATATGGCCTGGGTGCAGTGACTCACACCTGTAATCCCAGCACTGTGGGAGGCCAAGATGGACAGATCACCTGAGGTCAGGAGTTTGAGACCAGCCTGACCAACATGGAGAAACCCCGTCTCTACCAAAAATACAAAATTAGTTGGGCATGGTGGCACACACCTGAAATCCCAGCTACTCGGGAGGCTGAGACAGGAGAATCACTTGAACTGGAAGCAGAGGCTGTGGTGAGCTGAGATAGCGTCATTCCACTCCAGCCTGGGCAACAAGAGCAAAATTCTGTCAGAAAACAAAACAAAACAAAACAAAACACCGAGTAGATACATATTATTACTTAAGTGCTATCAAGAAAAAAAGAAACCCTGAGGCTATTATTTTAGACAGAGTGGTTGAGTAAGGGCTCTTCAAGATCACATTTTAAAGGACATCTGGAAGAAACTGAGAGAATGAGCCATGAAATAATCATCCCTCAGGATACACAGGGGATAGGTTCCAAAGCCCCATGTATGCCAAAATCCACACATACTCAAGTCCTGCAGTCAGCCCTGTAGAACCTACATACAGGAAAAGTTGGCCCTCTGTATGTGGGGTTTTGCATTCCAGGAATACTGACTTGTCTTTTTCTTTTTTTTTCTTTTTTGAGACTGGATCTTGTTCTATCACCCAGCTGCAGTTCAGTGGTACAATCATAGCTTACCGCAGCCCCGATCTCCTGGGCTCAAGCAATCTTCCTGCCTCAGTCTCCTGAATAGGTGGGACCACAGGCACACCACCACACCCAGCTACTTTTTGAAAGTTTTAGTAGAGACGAGGTTTCACTGTTGCCCAATCTGGTCTCATACTCCTTAGCTCAGGTTATCCTCTCACCTTGGCCTCCCAAAGTACTGGGATTACATGCATGAGCCACTATGCCTGGTTGAAATACTGTATTTTCAATCTATGTTGGGTTGGAAAAAATCCACCTATAAGTGGACCCTTGTAGTTCAAACCCACGTTGTTCAAGTGTCAACTTTACTCACAAAAATGTAGAGTCATTAAAATCTTAACAGGAAAGAAAAAGAACAGGTCAAACTGAATTCTGTAAGGTCGTACATCAATAATTACCTATTATTTCTAAAATTTAGGGAAAGGATATAACAAATCAAGCAGACAGATTAGAATTTCATCTCAAAAACCATGCAGCCCACGTAAACTTGTGTACTGAGAAACATTAGGAAAAAGCAAGAGGATATTTACTCTGATTCAAAACAAGTTGCCTCAGACCAACACAGAAAATGTTACCTTTACAACTAGATCTGAGATACCCACTCAAAATTTTAAACGAAGATTTGCTGACTGTAGTGGTACCCAGTACCACTCTCCCAGAGTTTTCCAGGGAATAGGAATTAGGTTGTATAATCCACGTGGTTAGATTACACTATCTATTCCATCTAGCCTAGGAAGATTCCAACTATCTTTCTTCACCATGGATATAGGGACCTATGTTTGGCTGTAAGAGTATTCTTTGATACTCAACGCGCTGAAAAGTGACTACACACTACTCTCCTCCCAGGCAGATCTCTGACTGATCACAATATATCCAGCTCCATCCAGATATACAGATCTCGTACCCATTTTCGATCTCACATCGTCCCCACTCTTCTCCCCAAAAAGGCCACACAGAGACAGGGAACGGAGCCTGAGCCCCTTCAATCAACCCCTTAGCCCGCTCCAAGCTTGAATTTCACTCCCCACCTGCGGTCTGAGCGTGGACCAATCTCAGCGGCAGAGCCCCGCCTTGGTCCGGTCCCAGGGCCTGGGATCCTGCTGGTCCAGATTCACCGGTCCCAGGCAGACAGGCTGAGCTACACTGGGCCGCAATGCTCCTCAGATCCGGACCACTCCTGAAGCAGGAAGCAGGAGACACACTGACAACCAGAGCGACGCGCAGACCTTGCGCACAATGCGCATCACTTGTCCGCAGAAGTGGAAGACGTACCTGGCTCGCAGCGTTGGGTCTCGAGCCCGCTGCCGGGAGGTGCTGCCCAAGGGTCAGAGTCCCCACTGGGTTTGGCTACTCTCACGGTTCTCACTTGGAGCAGCCCTGTGGTGGCCCAGCTACAGCGGTACAGCCCCGGCGCCTTCTGATTGGCTCAGCTTCAACCCCTCGCGTATTCGCTTCCGGGTGAGAGGTGCCCGGTCGCCCCAGCAACCAAGTCGCACTTGGAGCTGTCCTAGCGCCTAGCTCTCTCCCAGCCGCAGAGCTGGCCGCCCAGGGGGAGACACAGAGTCTGGATAATCTCTCTAACACCTCTCGGTCAAGTGAGTGCCTGTCCTCCCAACGACCCGGGCAAAGAAGGGCTCCTTTAAGTCGAACTAGCGTGGAGTCAGAACTTGCTTGGCCCCTGGTAACTCCCGTAGGGGTGTGACATACTTCCTGACCGTCTAGGCGAGGGCCACGGAGGAGTCCCTGGTCTGGGAATCTAGCTCTGATTCTGTCGTTAATTCGCTGTTGAGACACCCGAGACGCGTGCCAACCTCCCTGGGCCTCAGTTTCCGCTATGGAGCCTGGCGGTCTCTGTGAGGTTCCCTCTAGCTCTGACATTCCAAGTTTCGAATGTAGAACATTCTAGCGGCAATTGAAAACAGTCCAGTTTCTGATATGCTTACGTTTAATGTTCTGCTTTATAAGCATGCAACGATTGCTTCCGAAGTGCCCTTCATTCACTGGACGTTCTGTTACTATTAGTACTAAACAAGGAGTCGGACAGTAGGGTGAGAAGAGGTTTGACTAATCCGCCATCTGTGTCCTCCTAGAGGAACCGGGTGGGATAGGAGATCCCGATACAAAAGCATGGTTTTAATAGAGCCCTAAGTACTACAGTAGGAATTGGCCCAAAGTGCTGTAGGGACTCCCAAATGAGTCTGAGGTTGACCAGTAATGAGAAAAAAGGCTTTGTGGGAGAACTCGTACCAGAGCTGAGGCTACAAGAAAACAATAGCTAATATTTACTTTAGACACTGGGCTAAGTGCTTTAACTAAATTAGATCATTTACTTAATTTGCCCCATCTAAGGATGAGATAACTGAGGCATAATGTAATTATTTGTCCTAGGCCAAAGAAAATGGTGGAGTCTGGATGCAAAGCTAGGTAGTCCCATGCCAGGGCATAAAACCCTAACTACTACCCTCTATTTTGCCAATTCTTAAGGATGAATAGCGATTAACCAGATAAAGAAGAGAAGGGTGTTCCACCCAGAGTACAGCATGGCATCAGTGGGAAACTACAAGCAGATCTAGTAATCTAGTTAGTTATCATTAAACACTTAGAAAGCAGCTCTGTGTGCCTGCCCAGTTGGAATTTCAAATCTTGCAGACATGTAAGTAACTAATTTATGAGCACACATGGCAGTTTCTATATACTGCCATACTTCACCCTGTATCCACAACCAGATCTTAGAAATTATAGGGAAAAAATGAGCAGACATACCGAAATTCATATTTTTCTAAGAGTTAGTGTTAGTGTCTATATTTAACCCCTAAACATGATCGGAATTCTAGCAAGATTGCTCTCTACCCTCCACACCATTTCCATATTGATATTACCTGAGTTTTAGTTACAGATTCTTTTTTGTTTGTTTTTTGTTTTTTAGTTTTTAATTTTGGTAGAAATGGAATCTCACTGTGTTGCCCAGACTGGTCTCAAACTCCTGGGCTCAAGCAATCCTCACACACTCAAAGCATTGGGATTACAGGCATGTGCCACCAGATACTGTTTTTAAACTTAATTCTTTTTTATTTTATTATTTTTTAAAGACAAGTGTCTTGCTCTCTCGCCCAGGCTGGAATGCAGCAGTGTGATCAGGCCTTACTGCAGCTTTGATTTCCTGGGCTCAAGCGATCCTCCCTCAAGCGATCAGCCCCCCACATAGCTGGGACTACAAGCATGCGACAGCATACCCGGCTAATTCTTGTATTTTTTGAGGAGACAAAGGTTTCGCCATGTTGCCCAGGCTGGTCTCAAACTCCTAGGCTTTAGCAACCCACCCGCCTCAGCCTCCCAAAGCGCTGGGATTCCTGGCGTGAGCCACTAATTAATCCTACCATCATGCCTGCCAGTTTCCATGATTTTAGACTGACAGTTTCGTTGGATGTAGAATATTGGGTTGAAAATAATTTTATCTTGGAATTTTATTTATTATTTATTTATTTATTTTGAGAAGGATTTTTGCTCTTGTTACCCAGGCTGGAGTGCAATGGCGCGATCTCGGCTCACCGCAACCTCTGCCTCCTGGGTTCAAGCAATTCTCTTACCTCAGCCTCCCAAGTAGCTGGGACTACAGGCGTATGCCGCCATGCCCAGCTAATTTTTGTATTTTTAGTAGAGACGGGGTTTCACCGTGTTGACTAGGATGGTCTCGATCTCTTGACCTCGTGATCCACCCGCCTCGGCCTCCCAAAGTGCTGGGATTATAGGCGTGAACCACTGCACCCGGCCTTGTCTCAGAATTTTAAAGACATCATGCCATTTTTATTTATTTATTTTTTTTAATCCACTGCTGCTGATGTCAATCCTTTGTAGTTTATTGTAGGTAATCTCGTTTTTGTTTGCTTGTTTTTAACTAGTCTAACTGGCTTTTGTCTTTGTGTCTGAAATTTTGCTGTAATCTATCTAGGTGTGGGGTTTTGCTTAGTTCTCATTTGTAGTTCAAGCAGTCATTAAATTGTTGGCTGTTTATTCAAATATCCTTTATTCTTTGCCCTTGCAATTCTTGTTAGACTGACATTAGCATTTTGTATCTGTTTTCCATTATTTTAAAATTCTTTGTGCTACTTTCTTTTTTTTTTAATTAAAAACAGTTTTTTTCCAGCCATCTTACTCACACTTTGTGGTACTTTCTAAGCACATTTTTCAACCTAATGTTCCAGTTCACGAATTTGTTTTCAGTTATATCTATTCTGCTATTCATCCCTTCTCAGAAGTTTTGTTTCACCAATTATATTATTTATTTCCTAGATTGCTAATTGTTTGTTTTTGTTTTTTTATAATCACCAGTTCGTGCCTCAAGGATACTAATACTCTCCCTTTCTGAGGATATTACAGCTTAAGTCCTCTGCCTATTGTGTTAACTCTGTTTCCTCAGAGGATATAAGCCTCCAACCTTTCTTAACTGGCACCTAAATTAATTTTTAAATTCCCTTGTCCCACCATAAAGACTCCAATTCAGTAGATGTGGGATAGAGAGAGGTAACTTAGAAGCATCTCAGGTGATTCTGAAGGGTGGGCCAGAGAGGATATGCTGGCATACCCTCTCTACGTAAGTTTTCTTCAGTATCAGAAAATACAGTTTCTAATGTTTTAGGTCACTAAGTGTCCAGGGCTCAGAGGCCCAGAGTCCCCCTCAGTCTTGTGGTTCTCTTTCTTCCTTTTTCACTTGGTCTCCATTCCAATCTCATTCTGTGTGGGTTTACCAGCCCTTCCACACTTGCTATCTTTATTTTCCATTTCTTCCTACTGCCAAATTAGAGATTCCTCACTTCACTTTTCCTTTGTGGGACAATCAGTAAACCATATGGGCTACCAAAGTAAAATAAAAACATATCCACACCAAAATTTGTACACCATTTTTTTTTAACTCCTAGGAAGCTGTGTGTGTGTTTTTTTAAAAATGTACATCAATGTTTAGAGCAGTGTTATTCATAATGGCCCCAAACTGGAAACAACTTAAATGTCCGTGAACTGATGAACGAATTAAAAAAACATGCTATTTCTGTACAAAATATTTATACAATATACTTGGCTATAAAAAGGAATGAAGTACTGATACATGATACAACATGGATGAACCTTAGAAACATTAAGTGAAAAGAGCCAGACACAAAGGACCACATATTGTATGATTTCATTTATAAGAAATGTCCAGAATAGGCAAATCCACTGAGACAGAAAGTAGATGAGTGGTTGTCAGGAGTTTGGGGTAGTAGGGTGAGGGGTGTTGGATGGGAATTGTAATGGGTAACTGCTAATGGGTATAGGATTTCTTTCTGGGATGATTTAAATATTCTAAAATTAGATTGTGATGACAGAGGCACAACTCTGAATATACTAAAAAACATCAAATTATATATTTTTAAAGGGTAAATTTTGTGGTATGTGAATTACATATTAATAAAGCTATAATAATAAATACATCTTAAAAGAGATCATCTGGGCAAAACTATTTATTTCCCCAGGACCCTACATTAGATGATGGAAATGCCAGGTAATCATCATATGCTTGTGACCCTGTGAAGTGAGTCCATTTGGATAGTGTTTAAAGCGCATTGGTTATAGGTGTTATGACATAAGAATATTTACATTTGGCTGGATGTGGTGGTGGCTCACATCTGCAACCTCAGCACCTTGGGAGGCTGAGGCGGGAGGATCACTTTAGCCCAGGAGTTTGAGACTGGCCTCAGCAACATAGTGAAGCTTTGCCTCTACCAAAAAAAAAAAAAAAAAAAAAAGTCAACTTATGTCATTCTTCTTAAATCTTTTAAAACAGCTTCAGAAGTGTATAAGATCAGCTTTATCTTTCCAAATGGAGACAAGTATGGTAAGCATACACTTCAGTTACTTTTTCTGTACAGAAAATTAAATAGTTTAAGAATAAAAAAATGAGACTGTTAAATTTTATAAAACTACTATTGGAATATTAACTTTGTTAACCAAAATAACAGAAATCCTAATAGATAAACAGATTTTAAAATTAAAACTTCAGTGTTAACTCTAGATGGTATGCCTTGGAAACCTATGGGATCTGTCAGTCTTCTTGGCCCATGAGTCTCAATTGTTACAAGATGTTCTACGTTCACGAATTTACTCATCTCTGGTCTCACTGGTTTTAGTGCTAGGGAGCTGAAAAAACCCAGGAGATATAGTTGCAATTAGGCCTAGACAGAACTATTCTCATTTATAATCTTCATTATTTCTCCCTTGTTTAGATGGTGACTGTACAAGAACATCTTCTGGAACCTATGAGAGAAATGGAATAGGTATTCATACCACTCCTAATGGGATTGTCTACACGGGAAGCTGGAAAGATGACAAGGTATTATTGTTGTTTTTAATACTGGCAGTGAATAAATAACTCTGTGGGTTAAATGATTCCAGGCATTGCACCATTAATCAAAAACTCCTATAATGAGTAGACTATATAACAAAAATAACAAATGATCATATTAACATGTATTAACTTACAAGTAATGTTGAACTCATTGCAGTAAGGTAATCATCATTATTATCTTTTGCATATCCTATTCACTGAATAAAGCTGAATCCATTACATAATTTTCTCATTTAATCCTTATAACAACTATATTATATAGGTACCGTTAATACTCCTATTTTACAAATGAGGAAAATCAGGCTCAGGTTTTTTGTCCAGCTATTAAATGATAAACAGGAAAGTAAACCCAGGTCTGCTCGAATCCAAATTTGAATTCTTTTTAAAGACAATTTTATTTCTTTTCTTTTCCTTCCTTCCTCCCTCCCTCCCTCCCTCCCTTCTTCCTTCCTTCCCTCCCTCCCTCCTTCCCTTCCTCCTTCCTTCCTTCCTTCCTTCCTTCCTTTTTTGACAGAGTCTCACTCTGTCTCCCAGGCTGGAGTACAGTGGCGTGATCTCGGCTCACTGCAACCTCCGCCTCCCAGGTTCAAGTGATCCTCCTGCCTCAGCCTCCTGAGTAGCTGGGGCTACAGTTGTGTGCCACCACACTCAGCCAATTTTTTATATTTTTAGTAGAGATGGGATTTCACCATGTTGGCCAGGATGGTCTCACTCTCCTGCCTGACCTTGTGATTGCCCGCCTTGGCCTCCCAAAGTTCTGGGATTATAGGTGTGAGTCACCATGCCTGGCCAAATTTGAGTTCTTAGCAATTACTTTTTACTGGTTTCCTGAACTAACTAAGCTGGTTGCCCTTTAAGATTTCTGATACATTTAGGGTATCTTGATGACCCCCATTATTTTCATCATGGACCCTCTGATGTTCAAATGTCCCAGATCCAGAACATTTGATTTAGTGGGCTTCACAGATAGATACAGGGTGAAGAAAAATGACAAAACTGTTGTCTTAATACTATCAAAATAAAGGATGATATAAAGTTGATTAATAATTAGCAGGTGATAGACTTATATTTGTACATCTTTGAAAGGTTCTCAGGAAACTGAAGATTAGTTTCTAAGGTAATTATCTTTGTTACAAACAGATGAACGGTTTTGGCAGACTTGAGCATTTTTCAGGAGCAGTATATGAAGGACAATTTAAGGATAACATGTTTCATGGCCTGGGGACTTACACATTCCCAACTGGGGCAAAATATATTGGAAATTTCAATGAAAATAGGTAAGGTTAAATTTAAAAAAATTCACTGTAACTCTAAAAAATTCTTTTCTGGCATGTATGCTTAAATATTTATTTATTTATTTATTGAGGCAGAGTCTTGATCTGTCATCCAGGCTGGAGTGCAGTGGAGTGATCTCGGCTCACTGCAACCTCTGCCTCCCAGGTTCAAGTGATTCTCCTGCCTCAGCCACCCAAATAGCTGGGACCACAGACATGCATCACCGCACTTGGCTACTTTTTGTATTTTTAGTAGAGATGGAGTTTCACCATGTTGGCCAGGCTGGTCTGGAACTCCTAACCTCAAGTGATCCGCCTGCCTCAGCCTCCCAAAATGCTGAGATTACAGGCATAAGCCACCATGCCCGGCTGCTTAAATACTGTAGTTAATTCTAAGTATTTTTTATAATGTATCTAGTTTCTAAAAATCACTGGAGGCCAGATATGGTGGCATGGCACCTCAAAAATCATTGATGGTCAAGAAATATTTGTTGAATAACTAAAGCAATTAAGCTAAATAACCAATGTAAACATTTCATTTTAAAAAAACTCATTGTTTTGGTTTTGTATGAATTTAGATTATGTGATCCTAAAATCATGGACACCAAATAATTGTGTTTGTTTGGAATAGTATGTGATTTTTTTTTTTTTTGGTAGGTTATTAAAGCAGGATGCTGGGTTTAAAAGTAAAGCTTGAAAGTAGAAAGATGTAATGCTTCAGACTTAGTGTACATTATGCTAGACCATCTTATATCTGGACTGTAAATTATTCATCTTGGTTAATGAAAAACTTATTTTTTACTATTGCAGGGTGGAAGGTGAAGGAGAATATACTGATATCCAAGGACTAGAATGGAGTGGTAACTTTCATTTTACAGCTGCTCCAGACCTGAAATTAAAGCTTCACATGTAGCTGTTCTTCACATGTATATGATATAATGTTACATTAAAGTTTAAATGTAGTAATTGAAGCTTTCAATTGTAAGGAAAGCAACTAAATCTGCTCTTGGAAGTGACTTCATACACTACCCCTATAAATTTGCCAATAAAACCATCACTTACACCTTTTTGAACTTCATTTTCGTTGTTTTATAATTAGTTTAAAATAGGTGATTCAGTTCAGTCTGCTTATTATAATAACTATGACAGAACCATCCAAATCTTGGCAAAGTTGATTTCCAAACCTCTGAGTTTTGTCATCTTTTTTTTTCCCTAGTTTGTGCTGTGTATCCCAGGTGACATCCACCCTCTTTAAAAAAAAATTTTTTTTAGGCTATAATACATTTCATTTATTATTTTTTAACTTTTATTTTAGGTCCAGGCATACATGTGCAGGTTTGTTATACAGGTGAACTCATGTAACAGGGCTTTGTTGTGCAGATTATTTTGTCTCCCAGGTACTAAGCATAGTACCCAATAGTTATTTTTTCTGCTCCTCTCCCTCCTGCCAACCTCCACCCTCAAATAGCCCCCATGTCTGTTGTTCCTTTCTTTGTGTCCATGAGTTCTCATCATTTAGTTTCCACTTACAAGTGCGAACATGTGGTATTTGGTTTTCTGTTCCTGTGATAGTTTGCTAAAGATAATGAACACAATTTTAAGTGTACAATACATTATTGTTGTCTACAGGTACAGTGTTGTACAGCAGATCTCGAGAGATTATTCATCCTGCTTGACTGAAACTTTATGGCCTTTGTTTAGTTACCTCTTATTTTCTCATCACCCCAGCCCTTGGTAACCTTTATTCTACACTTTGATTCTATGAATTTGACTATCTTATTTTATTTATTTATTTTTTTTCAGATGGAGTTTCACTCTTGTTGCCCAGGCTGGAGTGCAATGGCATGATCTCGGCTCACCGCAATCTCCGCCTCCTGGGTTCAAGCGATTCTCCTGCCTCAGCCTCCAAAGTAGCTGGGATTACAGGCACACATCACCATACCCAGCTAATTTTTATATTTTTAGTAGAGATGGGGTTTCACCATGTTGGCTGGGCTGGTCTTGAACTCCTGATCCACCTGCCTTGGCCTCCCAAAGTGCTGAGATTATAGGTGTGAGCCACCCTGCCTGGCCGAATTTGACTATTTTAATACCTCATACTTTTAAGTGGAATCAGACAGCACTGGTCTTTCTGTGACTAGCTTATTTCACTTAGAATAATGTCCTCATGGTTCATCCATGTTGTCACAAATTGCAGGATTTCTCTTTTAAGGCTGAATGGTATTCCATTGTATGCATATACCATACGTATTTTCTTTATTCATTGTGGTGGGCATTTAGTTTGTTTCCACAGCTTGGCTATTGTGAATAGTGCTGCAGTGAACATAGGAGTGCTAATATTTGAGATCTTGATTTCTGTTCTTTTTTTTT